TCTTCCGAGTATTTTTATCTATCTACCTGTACTGACGTTGTACATATGATTATTTTGAACACATGATCATGCCTTGAGCATGCCTCACGGGTTTCGTGAAATATACATTATTATTATTATTATTATTATTATTAAGTGGGTATTTGACCGAAGGGAGGCCTTCGCACTAGAGTGCTCACAATTCATACAGGGTATGGTTGTTGCTGAAAAGTTAACCCATAATTTGCAGCAAAATAGAATATGTACTCCAAAAAAGGTTATAGAGAGCACCGATGTTAAGCCGACTGGATCGGTAGGAATTAGGCTGAAAACACAAGGAGGACAGACTGCTGTAGACAAAGCGTCTGGAGAGATCCCAGCCTTTATTTCACGGATGGAAGTCCTTGAAAGAGCACTTTCCATGGTCAAACATTCCACTCAAATAATGCCAGGTAGGACGCGAAACCTGGTCCTCCATAATTTGAGAGGGCCATTTATCCGCGGAAGTAAGGCGAGAAAGGAAGGAAATAGGCGATGCCTTCATGACATACTCAGGATGATTGAGATGCTTGCAAGCGCTTCAGTTGTCAAGTGCCGCCACAATGGCCTATAGAAAGGCGATGTTTCGGTTGAACCAAAGCCGCTGTCAGTAGTTTTTGCCAGTATGTACCTCAGAGACGCCGTATTGTCCAACGCAGTGAAGGTAGACATAGTCGCAGGTGGTCGAGTGAGGGTCACTCCTGACTCGGGCATTCAGGCGCCCAGGGTTACACCAGTCTCGAGGCCGCAAAACCCACAAGTGGCTGGAGTAAAATGAACTTGGGTGCCAAAAAACGCGCCAGCAAAAGGACAGAAAATACAGATACAAAGAGTAGATAGGGTTCCACTAGGTAGCTCTACCCCTAAAATCGTAACATAGCCGGTGATGGGCCAACTGAGGGGTGCCACAAATCATAATGAACAAAAGAAGGACTGTCATCGTTCAAAAGAAATGAAGTTTGATAAAATTAGTATAAATGATGCGCTGCAACGGCTTCATTTGAATGAAAAGAGCAAAACCACGCGCAAGGCTCTGATGAAGTAAGCTTCCATTATCGTACCTTCCTCGGCAGCGAAAACGATTTCAAGCACTCAACGTCCTGGGTCGGCAAGTTGGGCAACTGTTGCTGCCAATTTGCCGACAACAAGGCCGAGGCTATCGGTGTAAAAGACACTAGTAAAAAGTCAGTCTGGGGCTCCCCAAGAAGACGGAGCGAAGTACGACTTAAGCGTTGAGGACATCAGAATCAAGAATGACAGCATCAAATGGGATGTGAAAAAGATTCAGAAATCACCCTCCCTTAGAGAAGGAAACTTGACTCTCCCTCGGGTCTTACACACTCCAACGAGAAACGGTCCCAGGACAACAAGGCTCAGGTTCCCCGATATGGCTGTCTGGTATACAAATGCCTGCAGCCTCCGGGGCAAATGGGGGGGAACTAAAGACCAGATCAGCGAACACAGATGTCATTGCTGTCACTGACAACTGGATCAAGAGTGACGATATGGTTCTGGGTTTACAGGACTTAACGGAATACAGACAGGATAGAGTCGACGGAAGGCAAGGGGGTGGACTACTCTTAGCTGTGCAAACTACCTGTCACCAATAGGAGTGACCACAGTTAGCTACTCCCAATATTCAGGTTACTGCTTGCCACCTAGGGGTTGAATCGAGTTCTTTGGGCATTGTTTGCATTTATGGGGTACCAAATTCAACGGTTGCTGAGGATAATGAGCTAATGTGTACCCTACAGGAGCTGCTTAGAAGGGCCCATAGATTCCTCATCGTGGGTGACCTAAACCTTCTTGAAATAGTTTGAGAAGAAGAACGAGCTCCTAGGGGAACTGTGAGGTGGACACTGCTGGAGTGGATCCATTCGCATGCGCTTGTGCAGCATGTAAGGGAACCTACCAGGTTCCGTTTCAACTAGAGGCCCTCAATCCTTGACTGAGCTATATCTTGAGCAAGGTCAGATGGCGTTAGTTTCACGATAGAGGTCCCTCTAGGCAGAAGCGACCACGCGGTCATTCAGGTAAAAGTACTGTATCAACATTTGAAACAGTTTATTTATAAGCCATCTGTCGTCTCTTCTTGAATTACTGTACTCTCCTTCAGCTCCACTGCAGCTCTGCATCTGGAATTATTAATCCTTCTTCGTCGCTATTTTCATTCTGTTCTTTGAACTCGTTTCCGCGCATTTTCTCCGGAGCGGATATTCCGACTCCTAATTTTCTGTCTTGCCCTTACTTTTCATAAGACAAACGTTCACGATGACGTGCATTATATAACAGATCACCCTCAATACTCTATTTTATGACCTTGTCCGCTTTGTGTTTTGTTTTCAACGCAAGGCACATTTAGGGTATTCTACGTAACTGTTTGAAAATTACGTTCCTACATTCTTTGTACTATTACGTTTTGGTCTCCAATGTTCAGTTTTCATATTGCTGAACATTTTGATCATGCGCACTAGCATGTTTCGTGGTCTTCGCGAAATATACCGTTATTATTATTATTATTACTGGCGCAGTCTACTAATACAGGAATCAAAATGGCCCGGTCGTATGGGAATGAACAAGAAGTAAGTCTTCAAGCGGCAGCGTTAGGTTTAAACTGGGAACCGTCCACAGCTGAGCCTACCATCGAAGAGAGATGGACTGCAATTAAAGATGGTTTACTAAGGCTCGCAGGAAGTTTGCGCCCCTGAGGCCCAGGCGAATCAGACATCGGCCACCATGGTGGAAACCATGTTTCGACAGGGCTCTGACCACAAGGAGTCGAAAGTATGCTCTTTACAAAAGGCTCAATTCGTATCAAACATGGTGTAGCTACAAGGCTGCAAGAAACCATGCGCAGGCTGTGCAACGAAGGGCCAGGTACGACTATGAGCATGAGATTGCATAAAAGCAAAGCAGAACTCAAAGAAGTTCTCTGTTTACGTCCAATCTAAAAAGGCATCAAGAGAGGGGATTGGAACGTTCGAAAGTACTGATGGACATCTTGCTTTAAGTGAGGAAGACAAAGCGAATACCCTTCAGGCTTTCTTTAAGGGAGTGTATAGGCAGCCGGTACCGTTAGGTATGACGGATAGATTCCATTATCCCAGCGTGACAGCACATTTGACCGAAATAACTGTGACATCAGACGAAGTCCTTCGTGAGTCAGCTACTGTGAACAAATTCAACGAAGCGGGACCATTTGGCATACATCCCGTTATTGTTAAACCTCTAACCGGGATGCTCCACGGGCCTCTGACACAGCTGTTCCAGGCATCTCCAGATTATAGAAAGATACCGGGAGATTGGAAAAAGCGACGGTAGCTGCTGTGCATAAATCTGGGTCAAAGCAAAAGGCCAAAATTTACAGAACAGTAACTCTGACGTCGGTCCTATGCAAATTCCTAGAAAGGATTGTATATTAGCATATAGCTGGGTACCTAGTTGGGCACGAGCTACTAACGCCGCTCAACATGGATTTATTACGAGGAAGTCTTGTCTATCGAATCTGCTCGTCTTCCTGGATAAAGTCACCGGACACCTAGACGAGGGACAGTATGTCGTGGTATGTTAGTGCACTTTAGTAGAGCCTTTGAATCTCTAAGTCATCAGGGGTTAAACCGGAAAAAGCATTTCTTAGGATTTGAGGGAGAAGTTAGAAAATGGATAAACTGTTTCATAACTAGCCGCACCATCCAGGTTAAGGTTGGTGCGCACTTATCGGTGCCGGTAAACATGACTAGCGGTGTCCCCTCAAGGTTCTGTGCAAAGCCAGTTGCTATTCTTGATGTTCGTCAATGATCTGCCACGGGATATCAACAAACTGTGCTTCATGTTCACGGATGACTTCAAAGTGGCTTCAGCAAATGTATATCAGGATCTGCAGGCGGTTATCCGAAAATTGGGATCGTCCTCTCAACTTAACCAAACGTCAACTTCTAACTGCAAAAGTTGCACTTGACATTCAAAATGAGATAGAGCTAAAGAGAGAGAGAAGTTGAGGACCTGGAAATAATTATATCACACGACTCCAAACCCTCTCAACAATGTCAGAGGGTAGTCAAAATAGCCCGAAGGGAACTCTTCCGTTTACATTCCTCGATTACGTGTAGGAGACCCGAGGTTATCGTCCCACTGTACAAGGCCATAGTTAGGCTACACTTGGAATATTGTGTCATGGGCACCCTACTTTCGGAAAGACATCGGATGTCTAGAAAGAGTGCAACGCCTGACCACGAGAATGATGGTAGGACAGAGAGGTCAGAGCTACGAGAATAGGCTCAAGGACCTTAATCTGTTCTCGTTGGCAAGAAGGAGAATTAAGGGGGGATCTTACAGAAGTCTTTCAAGTCATAAACGGTCTCTCCGGATTCAAGTTTAAGGACATGTTCCAATTCATCCCTTCAAGTGGCACTAGGAGGCACAGTTTAAGGCTACAACATAGTCTTGTAAGGTTAGAAATTCGAACCAAGTTCTTCACAAGTCGCGTAATACCTTACTGGAATAATCTACCCGAGGATGTGGTAAGTTGCTCGAACGTCATAGCCTTTAAGAGGGCCTTAGATGAATGCAGCCATATAGCAACATGTTGGGCTTCTATATTCCCTGAAGCAGTTTAAAGAGCAGTATCTATTGGCTCTAAGCGTCATTGCTTAGGACGTGATACTGCACCTCACGATCTGTCTTTCAGAAAAAAACGTATTGACTTGCAGTGTTGGAAGCCACAAGATCAGCCAACAACACATCCATCTGGACTCACGAATGGCCCGGGCCACACATCATCCTGTGCAAACTGAAATGAACTAAACTAATTCTCCACAGTTTTACATCATCCAAGTAGAGCAGGCAAGGCGAGTTTAACTCTGAGGGCAAGTAATTCACGAAGATGAGGACCAGTACTAGTCCTAGAACCGAATATTGTGGCACCTTACTAGTGACTGGATAGCGACTCCACTCTAGGCAGCTCTCACAGTAAACGTCAGCCGGACGAGGAAATCCTCTATCCAGGGTAATAGTGGGTCTCCGACACCGTGAGCATTTAGCTTCTTCAACAACCGTCCGTGTGACACCTTATCGAAGGTTTTGCTGAAGTCAATGAAGATGACGTCCGTCTCGTAACCATTGGCCTTGGCAGACACCCATTGTACGTCAACCCATTCGCATTTGAGTGACGCGTAGCCGGAACTGATACGAATCCCGAAATAAAACACGATTGATCCGTAATGTTCTAAGGTACGGAATTGGTGAAATCATTACAAAATGTACAATAAAGCAAACCTCAAATATGCGGCCCAAAGGAATCAAGCAAGCGAGCCAAATATGATGTCAAGAGAGAGCCAAGCAGTCGCTCACGTTCTCTGACCATGCAAAATTCAAATGTGCCCGGTATCGAAGTAGCAGATAAAGAATAATGTATGGTGTTTGTGATTGAGAAATGTCAATAGCGAAGCAACACACAGATGGAGTTATGTCACCTCAAATCATCATGGGTTTGGAAGGATTTAAAAAATTCAACATGAAATATAACCATTGCTCCCGAGCAAGTAGCAGATTGGAGAAGCATGATCACTGCGGACGGAACTCATGGTGCCCCGGGACTCCGATTAGACTCGAATGGGTCGCGGATAGGAACCAGATAGGACTCGAATGGGACTCTGTAGGACGGCTCCCGCATGGACCTCCTTACATTCTATTACGCGTTGCGCACATTTCGCCCAGCTCACGCATGCTCGCTTATGACTAAGACTAAGCAACATTTGAAGAATTCTACGTGATATATGTAAATACAATCCCCCCAACGTCAGCTTCTCATGCATTATCCTGATCGTTGGATAACGTAACCTAAGAATGATGTTTACTACCTGATTTCCCTATTTCAATATAAGAAGAAATACATAGGACACTTTGAAATATGTGTTTTACAAGAAAGCTGTACAGGTTTTATTCAGTGGCCATCAGACAATTATTCTGGTTGGTTTTATTTGTTGTACTCTCTTCTGTATGCCTTTGCCCTGGCCTTCTGAATCCACCTTTGTATTCACTCACGTACTTTGACGTGAGTTTCACATGGGAAGTTATTTTTCATAGTGTAATCTGCATATTGATATATAGTTAGATAATACGGCACGTTTACTGACCACCAAATTGAAAATATATGTAGATTCCATTCCATATTTGTTGCTAGTGTCATCCCAGTTATTATTTGGACTGGCATTAGGATGCACCATATTATCCATGGTGTGTCGTACGTATTCCGCGGCTGTGCTTCCGCCAAAGTTCAGCAGCTCCGTCATCTGAAGTCTGTGATGTTGATTGAAGTAAGCAGGGAGATTGTGCTTCCCTTTGACCTTCTTCTTCAAATTTCACCGAGTAGAAACCCCGAAGCCGAAAACTGGAACTCGAAGATTCCATAACATCAATATTGATGACTTGGTCAACAGAGCGGAGGGCCTGTGCTGGGACAATCTGAGCTCTATAGGGGACACCTGGAACCGAATGAGGGACAACATTGTACACCTCACGGACGTCTACACGCCTGTGAAAACAACGGGGATAAAGGGACACAAAACTTGGTTCCGACCTAGAGTCTGCCGAGCGTTTAAGAGGAAACATCGGGCATGGATGGCGTTCAACAGGCAGCGAAGTCTCCTGCGCTTTGCTCGCTTTAAACGTCGCCGCCATAAAGCTATCAAAGTAGCACGGTAGGCTAGACTCA